AATTTATTAGTTGCTTGGAGAAGCTCTGCATAAGAGAACTTTCTGAGCTTTTCATCCACAGGTATCGTGGTTGGAGAGCTTCTTCCAAGTCTTTAGTCGACAATTTCCCAAACTAGGAGGAATGTTGCCACTCAATTATTTGTGTGCAAATACAATTGACCCAACTGTGTTGTGTTTCCAAGATCGGCTGGAATTTCCCCTGAAATTCTATTATCAAACTGGCGAAGATCCTCCAATCTTTCGAGTTTGCCAATACCCACTGGAATTTCTCCTGTGATTGAGTTCATGGAGATTACCAACCATGTCAGGCCAATTAAATTCTTTATTCCTTCAGGGATGGTTCCTGATATCTGGTTTGCTCCTGCAATCAGCTATTGAAGAGTAGTTGAAAAATTAGCAATCAAAGTTGGTAATTCACCTTTGAACTTGTTAAGGCCTATGTCCAGTTCCTGGAGGTTGCTGCAGTTAGTTAAAGAAGTTAAGAAGCTAAATCTTTCTGCTTCCTTGGGAGGGGAAATAGCCAATAGAACAGAGCATCTACATGTTCCTAATGTTGAAATAATTTTACCATTCTATGCAGTCGAGGCTGATATAGTCAGGATTACAGGCATGTTCAGTCATCTTATCTTAGACATAGTAATCTTATAATCATGAACATGACATAATAGCAAGCTTGAATAAAGGCATATACATTCCATGATGCTTTAAACTTGAGAGTTCTTAAAATCTACAGCAACCTATATAGCAGCAGCAGCAACAACCTATATACATTATATGACACATAGTTCACATATGCTATTTAAAGAGAGTTCTTAAAATCTGCTCTGTATATACAGCAACAAAAGTTTATTTAGCAGCAGCCTGTAATAGTGTTTCATTTTGTGTTTATAATATAGGTCCATCTGTAAAGCGAGTACGAGGTCCAACTAGGGGTAAGAACAGTAGTAGACTCATGAGCCAACATGGTGGGAAGAAGCTTTTTGTTGGAGTTTCTATTGAGGGGAGGACATTTGTGGGGCTTAATGCCACCAAGGCCGCTAACGAATTGGGGGCACAAATTTGATTGCAAGCCCCATTGCAAGGAACAAAAAATTGGGAGGACGTTCCACCAGTCATTCGAGCAGCTATTGTACAATCCTTGCGGGTAATTTAATTTTTATAGTTGTTGAGATTGAAGTAATTAATATATAAGATGTTTAATTTTCATTTTATGTTTAATTGGGACAGGATAAGTTTGAGATTGAAGGATATGATGAGAGTCCACTTCCACAAGAAATAATTGACACAAAGGCCACACATTTGTTCAAAGACTGGCGATATCATATGCATGAACATTACAAAGAGTTGGTGAAAGAAGGTACAGATCCTTATAGTAAACCATTTGTTGGGGTGAGCGAAGAAGATTGGAGATACATGATTGATGAAGTGTTTCTTGGTGACACACACAAGGTAATTAACTTAACAGTCATGGATGTTTCTTTTAATTGCACTGCAATGAATAACTCAAAGGTCCCAAGTTTCTTTGAAATTCAAATAATATACAATTATATATGAGACAGAGTAAGGAAATTGCAGAGATGGAGGGAAAGATATAGGAACCATGCTTGGATATTGATTTTTAAGTCAATATTTCTATTGCATTGTAGAAACGGTCAACAAGAAATATAGCCAACAGGAAAAAGTTACCCTATAATCACACCATGGGTTCAAGGTCATTTTCAGCAGCAATCTCAATTGAGGTAACCTATTTTTTGTTTTAAAACTTATAGTTAATGCTGCAATTTTTTTATTAACAATATTACTAAGCTTGCATTTTATATGTTTCATGTAGGGAATTGAAACTGGAATGGAGCCTCACATTGTAGATTTTTTCAAGACCTCACATTGGAGTAAAAAAAAAAAAGATTGGATTGAACCAGTTTGTGCGGAGTTATATGTAAGTATACCTTCATTATATTTGTTATTCATAGTCCTATATAATGCTTAACTAGTTAGTGTACTTGTAAAATAGGATAACTGTTGATCTTTTTTTCTTTTTTTTTTCTTTTCTTTTTTTAACACAAACAGGAAAAGATGGACCAACTTCGTGAGGAATCTTCACAGCCTGGAGCAACCCCGCTAACACAGGAGGAAATTACTGTTCAAGTCCTTGGGAAGCGTTCAGGGTATTTGAGAGGTTTCGGGGTTGGTCCAAAGCCGTCTTCTGCATTCAATTCTACAACTAGGTCACAAGCACGTGATGAAGAGGTTAAGGGCCTTAAAGAAGAGGTAGCATCACTGAAAGGGATAATTCAATCATATGAAGGACGCTTTGAGTAGTTTGAACACTTTATGAGACAAATGCAGGGCAATGGTAGTGGATACGACTCTTTTGATGAGTAAGTACTATTGCTTTTGATGGTTTGTGAATACTTCTGGGATTTGCTTCAATTTATCAGCTCATAGATCTGATTTGACAGTTGATCTATGACTGTCGTGTTGGCATCCATTCATATGATGGTCTAATATTGATTTGATTGGTTTCATAGGTTAATTTCATTCGGATTTAGGTACATAGTTGGATGGTTGAGGGACATAGGTTGAGGTGCCTTATTTTCAGTACATGACTTGGTATTAAATTATTGGATTTAGGTACATAGTTACATAGTTACATTTCTATGACTGTCTTGTTAGCTTGTTTGGTTCAAGAGGCTTTATCTTGTTAAAGGCTACTTTATGTAAAGGTAAAGTTAAGAGGTACTATGTGTATAAAGGAGTAGGTGGTGTTTGCAGATGATGGTGTGTTTTTCTAATATTAGTTAATTGGTTTGTGTTGCTTTGGATTGCTGGTTGTTTGTTTTTTTTTTCTCTGTTGGTTTCTCACCAACTATTGAAGCTTGTGTTGGGGAAAGACATGGCTGAGAATCCTGAATATCCACACACAAATAAATAAATACATTGTATCTCTCCTGAAAATTTGAGAAATTATAATTTACTCAATGTTTGGAAAAATTACACTATGTTTTCATAATATTTTGATTCACATTACAGTTGTCCCCACAATGTTGACTTAACAGAATATTCTACTTACAATCTATACATGGATAATAATTCTATTTACATAGTTAGGGATTGAACTAGTGATGGAGGAGATAATACACGAACTGTAAGGATGGTAATAATGTGGTGGTGTTGTGGTTTTTTTTTTATTTTTTATTTATTTATTTAGAAATGTAAACAAATATATTATTATTAACAACGCTTTCTTCAATTTTTTTTTTGCTTGTCAGCTGGTGCTGTCCTTTTTGTAAATTAACGAAACTCATTTCAACTGTGTGATTGTTACAGATCTGGTGCTTCCGAGTTTGGAAATTTTGGAAATTTTTCTCAAAAATTGTATCTTGAGATACAAACCAAACCAGCCCAATATGTTTGCAGCCTTTCTTATCTGTAAAATTAAGAAAGAAATGTTGTAATGGTAAACATAGTTTTTTTCCCCTTTACTATTTTCCTTTCTTGTGGTCTGTGTTTGCACTTTGTAGTTGGAAGTTTTGAGCATAAGCATGCCTTTACCACACGAACCTACAAGCTTTACTTGCACCAGATTACATGATGTATTCTCTACTGTTTCAGATGTAGTGAAAAGGAGACTTCATATGCTTCATTCACATATGTCTTTTCTGGATTCACAGATCTTTGTATGATTCACATATCGCACATCAATTTGGAGTAAATTGTTTCTCTTGCATGTCATCATATAAATATGAGCTTGATCTAGCAATTAATGTCAATTCATTAGGCCTTGTTGATTGTTGGCCCTGTTGGAACGTGAATAGAAAGTTTCAAAACTTCCACTTAGTTGTGTATTTTTAGTATATGTGCTTGTCCCGCATTGTAGCATGGCTACAATTTTTAAATTGTTTTTGTTTTTATTTTTTTATTTATTATTTGTTTTCTTAACCGTTATTGGGTATCAGTTCTTTGGCCAAGAGTTTTATCTAATGAGAAACATACCTTAACCAAGAGGTGTGTTTTTTCACGAATAGATATTTGATTGTCTATATAAGGCAATGAGATCTCTCTCACGTTTTCCACACCAGGAAACGCATAGATCTTTTCCTCTCTCGTCTTTAATTTTCCTACATAATTTCATGTATTGTTTTGGGTAACTTCTATCATAAAGGGTTTTACATACCTTCTATCTAGTGTGTGCGAATGTTACAAGGCCGGGCAATGATTTGAGTTGAATCTTGGAACTGTTGATTGACTGTCAATACCTTCGCTTGGGGAGGCAATAACAACTTTAGGCCATCGAAATTGCGCTTCTCTAATCACATGCCAGTTTTCTTATTTTTTTATTCTATATATGTATTTATATAAAGTAATTTATTATAATGTCTTTGTATGTCAAATTTTTTTGTAGGCCCAACACTCAGCTCAATTATGAGTGACATGTTAACCCATGGTTTAAAACCAAAGAATAAAACCGAGCTTGATATTTCATACCATACATCTCCCTGCATGGATGCCTTGCTGCCCATACCATACTCTGTGGCAAAGAATCATAACAAATCATGTTAATTGCCCAAAGATTTTAGGCTTCAAAAACTAGGAATGATCTTGATATTTCATCTCCAACATGAAAGATGAATTTATTAGCATCCCCAATAAATATATGGGCTGGAGAAAGATGCACTTAGTTACCTGGAGCAACATTGCCAACATTTCCTTTTATCCCAATTGAACTGATTTTATTTTGAGAACTAGTGGGTAGGCTTTGATGGGTAGGCTATGATCAGATAATAGATGTGCTACTCCAAAATCACCCATGCGTGCAATCATGTCATGATCCATCAGAATATTACTCGGCTTCAGATTACCATGAATAAGTGCTTCTTGGCAGTGATGGTGAAGATACTGTAGTGCAGATGCTACCTCCATCGCTGTTCTTAGTCTCTGAGTAAGACTTAAACTTCTTTGGTGGTCTTGCTCATCTTCACTTTGGTGTAGCCACTCCTCGAGGCTTCCATTGGGCATGAACTCGAAAACTATCGCCTTGAAATCATCGCCTTTGGAATCGATGCTCGAGCAAGTAGTGATTATCTTGATGAGGTTCTGATGTCGGATACCTCTCAAAGCATTGCATTCTTCCACAAAACTCTTGGTAGCTCCTTTCTCTGTAAGGTTGAGCACCTTCACAGCCACAGTCAATCCATTGCTGCCCAAAACCCCTTTATAGACAGAACCATAATGTTCCTCGCCAATCAATTAGGTGGACGAGAATTTATTAGTTGCTTGGAGAAGCTCTGCATAAGAGAACTTTCTGAACTTTTCATCCACGGGTATCGTGGTTGGAGAGCTTCTTCCAAGTCTTTAGTCGACAATTTCCCAAACTAGGAGGAATGTTGCCACTCAATTATTTGTGTGAAAATACAATTGACCCAACTGTGTTGTGTTTCCAAGATCGGCTGGAATTTCCCCTGAAATTCTATTATCAAACTGGCGAAGATCCTCCAATCTTTCGAGTTTTCCAATACCCACTGGAATTTCTCCTGTGATTGAGTTCATGGAGATTACCAACCATGTCAGGCCAATTAAATTCTTTATTCCTTCAGGGATGGTTCCTGATATCTGGTTTGCTCCTGCAATCAGCTGTTGAAGAGTAGTTGAAAATTAGCAATCAAAGTTGGTAATTCACCTTTGAACCTGTTAAGGCCTATGTCCAGTTCCTGGAGGTTACTGCAGTTAGTTAAAGAAGTTAAGAAGCTAAATCTTTCTGCTTCCTTTGGGAGGGAAAAAAATTCACATAGTGAACTACATTTAGTCAGAGTAGGGTTTTTAGCATGACAAATTATAAGACATATATTTTTAACATGATTCGACACATAAGACTATTTCATTAGATAGTTAAAAGAAAATTTCTCTAATATATTTCATCTGATGTACAGCAACAGCAACCTATTTAGCAGGTATAGCGATCCGCGGTTTTACCCTTGTTTATATCCCGTGATCAGGACATGTGTCCGTGGATGTTGGTAGTTGTTTTATTATTTTGTTTACCTCCTTTACTTCGTATTTGAGTTATAGGAATGTGTTGGGCGGATTTGTTTCAGGTTTGGTTGAGTTTAGAAACCCAACACTAGTTGCCCAGATTTTTTGGCCTGTACGCTCGAGCGGAGGTGTTGGCGCTCGAGCGGAGATTACACCCATTCAGTATTTCCTGTGGCAAGGCGTTTGTACGCTCGGAGCGTGGTATTGGCCGCTCGAGCGGGGTTGTCTGGAGTGCCGCTCGAGCGTAGGGTTGGGAGCTCGAAGCGAGGCCTGGTTCTGCAAAAGTGCTGGGGAGTTACATTCTGCGCTCCGAGCGGCGGTTGGCCGCTCGAGTGAAGTCTGTGAGTGGACGCTCGAGCGGGGTGTTTTACGCTCGATGCGGAGACTTGGGTTTAAAAGTCCCGAAATTGTGACTTTTTCAAATCACTTTTTCACTTTCTCTTCTTCTCTCTACTTTCCAAATCACCCCAATTGGGTTGAGCCTCTCACTTAGACTCTACCTCTCTATAGGTTTGATCTAGGTAGGAGTGATTTACTCACTCTTTGGCCTTTACAAAAAAGTTGTTGATCGTCGAGGCTTCATTTAATCTGAAAATCTCAGGTTTGGAGGCACGTTGGGTTTGTTTGTCTTCTACCTTTTGGGACTCCCGAATTTGAAAGGTAGGATGATATCCTACTCCTTCTCTATGGGTTTGTCTTTAAATTTTAGTAATTTTGAGATGTTGGGCTTGTTTGGTAATTTGTGAAAGTTTGGGACTTTTGTGTAATTTTACAAAGTTGTGGATTTTATTCATAATAAACCTAGATGCATGTTGGCATGAAAAGAAATTGGAATGATTGTGAAATCATTGATGAATGGGGCCTAAGGTTGAAAATAGTAATTATGGAAAATGGCCTAATTAGCATTGTTTATTAATTGGGATAATTAATTGGTGAGAAATGAGGAAATGAAATGTTGATTGATATCTATTTGTTGGCATTTATTTTCTGTTTTAGAAATAACTGCTTTGGGCTACGGTGAGGATAGTTCGAGATTGTTGTCAGACAATGCATGATGATTAGGTAACGGATAACTAATCAATTGGAATGTGTCATGGACTTGAACGGTTGATAGAATACATTAATTGTGGTGTAATTGTGTGATTGTATATAGAACCAATGTGGTTTAATACGTTATGTATAGAGGAGGAGATAGGGGATGTATCCGCGGGTTTAGGGGAAGATAGGGGATGTACCTCTTAGAACGGATAGGTATTGGGAGGAGATAGGGGATGACTCCGTTAGACACAGCTATATGCTTGTCGTAGAGAAGTGAAATAGGCTCATATGCTTCATCATTTGTGAAGTGTGGATACAGCTTGTAATGCTTATCTGTTGGATATTGTTGATATCATATCTGTTGAGAATGTGGATATAAAATTTTTAATGGCTTACTGAATGTGAGATTAATAGTTTTTATAGGCAATATCTGTGGAAATGATGATAGCGCTAGTATGCCTAATCTGTTGTTAAAGGAAAATGAAAAGTAATTGGGACTTGTAAGTCGTTGACATAAAATATGTTATTTAATGTGGATTGTATCAGTGTTGAACCAACTATGAATTGCTAAATGTTTTAGTCATTTGTCCATGTTGGTTTAGTGCATTTCTACTGGGCTGTGTCACCCTAATATGGGAATATCATTTTCCGGTACAGGAAGCATGCACCGTCCAAAGGACATAGCTTGGAGGCCTAGAGGCGGACATAGTGGTAGTTGTTTTACTTTTGATGTATTACTGTAACTTCAAGGCCAAGGAGGCTTAATGTGTAAACGAGTAGTACTCTTTTGTTGAAACCAAAAGTGTTAATTGGAAAGCTTGTAAGCCCGTAGGGCCATTTTTTTTTGATGTTACATGTAATACTTATGTAATGAAACTCATGAAATAAAGAATGTGGTTAGTTTATATGTATGCATCGTCTTATCTGATGGGTTTAATGTTATTATTTTGAGGGCGTTACAGCAGCAGCCTATAATAGTGTTTCCATTTTTGTGTTTATAATATACCATCTGTAAAGCGAGTACGAGGTCCAACTAGGGAAGAACAGTAGTAGACTCATCAGCCAACATGGTGGGAAGAAGCTTTTTTGTTGGAGTTTCTATTGAGAGGAGGACATTTGTGGGGCTTAATGCACAGGCCGCTAACGAATTGGGGGCACAATTATTGCAAGCCCCATTGCAAGGAACAAAAAAAATGATCTTATGGGAGACGTCCACCAGTCATGTCGAGCAGCTATTGTACAATCCTTGCGGGTAATTTAATTTTTATAGTTTTGAGATTGAAGTAATTAATATATAAGATGTTTAATTTTCATTTTATGTTTAATTGGGACGGGATAAGTTTGAGATTGATGGATATGATGCAGAGTCCTTCCACAAGAAATCATTGACACAAAGGGCACAACATTTGTTCAAGGCTGGCGATATCATATGCATGAACATCAAAAGAGTTGGTGAAAGAAGGTACAGTCCTTATAGTAAACCATTTGTTGGGGTGAGCGAAGAGATAAGGATACATGATTGATGAAGTGTTTCTTGGTGACACACACAAGGTAATTAACTTAACATCATGGAGTTTCTTTTAATTGGGCACTAACAATGAATAACTCAAAGGTCCCAAGTTTCTTTGAAATTCAATAATATACAATTATATATGAGACAGAGTAAGGAAATTGCAGAGATGGAGGGAAAGGATATAGGAACCATGCTTGGATATTGAATTTTAAGTTAATATTTCTATTGCATTGTAGAAAACGGTCAACAAGAAATATAGCAACAGGAAAAAGTTACCCTATAATCACAACCATGGGTTCAAGGTCATTTTCAGCAGTCATTCAATTGAGGTAACTATTTTTTGTTTTTTACAAACTATATAGTTAATGCTGAATTTTTTATTAACAATATTACTAAGCTTGCATTTTATATGTTTCATGTAGGGAATTGAAACTGGAAAGGAAGCTCTCACATTGTAGGATTTTTTTCAGACTGCACATTGGAGTAAAAAAAACAAAAAGATTGGATTTGAACCAGTTTGTGCAGAGTTTATATGTAAGTATACTTCAATTATTTTGTTATTCATAGTCCTAATATAAAGTCTATAACTAGTTGTGTCTGTGTTAAATAGGATAACTGTTGTTCTTTTTTTTTTTTTTCCTTTTCTTTTTTGTAACACAAAAGGAAAAGATGGACCAACTTCTGAGGAATCTTCACAGCCTGGCGCAACCCACTAACACAGGAGGAAATTACTTTCAAGTGTCCTTGGGAACGTTCAGGGATTTTGAGAGGTTTCGGGGTTTTGGTCCAAAGCGTCTTCTGCATTAATTTCACATACTAGGATCCACAAGCACGTGATAAGAGGATTAAGGGCTTAAAAGAAGGGTACGCCATCACTGAAGGGTACTTCGATCATATATGTAAGGACGTTTTGAGCATTTTTGTTTGATTGACTTTATGAGACAAATGCGCAGGGAATAGGTAGTGGATTAACGACTCTTTTGATGAGTATCAGTACTATTGCTTTTGATGTTTTGTTGAATACTTCTGGGATTTGCTTCAATTTATACCTCATAGATCTGATTTTGAAATTGAACATATGACTGTTCTGTGTGGCATCCATTCATATGATGGTCTATATTGATTTGATTGGTTTATAGGTTGTTTCATTCGGATTTAGGTACATAGTTTGGCATGGTTTGGGGGACATACCGGTCTGAGGTGCCTTATTTTCAAGTACATGACTTGGTATTAATTATTTGGATTTAGGTACATTTAGTTACTTTCTATGACTGTTTTGTTATCTTGTTTGGTTAAGAGGCCTTTATCTTCTAAAGGCTACTTTATGTAAAGGTAAGTTAAGAAGGTACTATGTGTAAAGGAGTAGGTGGTGTTTGTCAGATGATGGTATGCTTTTTTCTAATATTAGTTTTTTGGTTTGTGTTGCTTTGGATTGCTTGTTGTTGTTTCGTTTTTTTATTTTTCTCTGTTGGTTTTCTCACCCGACTATTGAAGCTTGTGTTGGGGAAAACATGGCTAGAATCATGAATGTCCCACACAAATAAATAATACATTGTATCTCTCTGAAAATTTTGAGAAATTATAATTTACTCTCAATGTTTGGCAATTACACTAATGTTTTCATAATATTTTGATTCAATAACAGTTGTCCCTACATGTTGACCTTAACAGAATAATTCTACTTACAATCTATATCATGGATAATAAATTCTATTTACATAGTAGGGATTGACTAGTGATGGAGGAGATTAATACACAGAACTGTAAGGATGGTAATAATGTGGTGGTGTTGTGGTTTTTTTTTTTTTATTTAGAAATGTAAACAAATATATTTTATTACATACGCTTTCTACAAATTTTTTTTTTTTTTATTGCAGGTAGCTAGCTAGCTAGAGGCGTAGTCATGCATGTTTATGGATTTATTTATATTATATTGGACACTTAATTCTACAGTCTGTGCACCATCATCATCACCTATGCTGACGTCTTTCTTCGAGTACTCTCGCATCCACGACAAAATAATGCACATGCATTTGCATCTTTGATGTTATCCTGTTAAATATTCTTCTTGACTGCTGCCCGTGACACTTTATTGTCACGGATGCATCCCCACCGATGGTCTATTTTCTGGCCGCGTGTAATCGTGTTCGCATCATTGACCAGGTTGCGCTATGTACCACCTACTACTTAATTACTCAAGCGATGGATACGGTTATCCTTTGGGCATGTAATCCGTGTTGATCATTCGACAGGGCTGCGCTCTCTTGTTCAAATCATCTTATCTATTATTTTGACTTTATATCTGATGTTTCTTTCTCTTTTTTTTAGATTCGGATTGGTATCATTAAATTGATTTGGATGGACATGATTATGTATTAATTGCACAAATAACCTTATCACACGCTCTCTCAAAAATTTAAGCATTATATTTAAAGAATAATTTTTGAATTAAAAGTTTTTTTGCACAATAATGTTTTTAAGTCGCACACTACAGGTTTTCCGATTCCTCGCCACCTCTTTGTGACAATCAACATTTCTGGTCGCCAAACATTTTTTCGCAGACTACCATCTTTGTCGCCAATAATTCACTTTTTTGTGATAGAATTAT